GTGTAATATATTTTAGTGCTAAATCTAGACCATTTTGTTTTGCAGGTTGAGCCTTATAAAATTAATAATCTCCAGCAAATGTACCCTAAGATGCGCTGTTATTTATATGCAGAGAATGGTGGTTTATTTACCCTAACATTAGAGTGATCCAAAATGTTCAGCTAAGCAGGAACACAAAGTATGATATTATATTATGTAAATGGATTTGTGATACGCTCTGCTGGATAATAACTTCCAGATGTCTCTGTAGCCAGAGGCTGACGGATATCAAAGGCAGGTTGGCTGGGAAGGGAGACGTGCCAGCTGGCGAGACTGGCTACTGCTAAGTGTAGTGGAAGGTGAAAGCTGGTATTTCTTCACACTCACTGGTTTTATTTGGGGACTAGTGAAAATTCAGTGACTTGCATGAGCAGGATAGGGCTTGAGGGGCTATAGGGGTCCCGAGTGTCCTATTCTTTCAGTGAATTATTTTTTGACCTCTTCTGTGAGTAAGGATTGAGTTTGGTCCGAGTCTCCCAACAAATGAAAGGCTGACAAGCCATGGACTAACACTGGCTAGCTGGATAGTTATTCTGACTTATCTTTTATTGCCAGTGCTAAATGCAGACAAGGAATTTTCCTGAGGTCTCAGTGCCATGGCATAAATACAGTTAGCTGGAGAACCATACAACCTCACCAGTTTGGAGTAAGATTTCCTAAATCTGTTTGACTTTAAAGTCTGACAGTCCCTAAGGGTTTAGCTATGTATCCCCTTCCAAATGCAGCGGGTTGTATTCACCGTCATTAAATGCAGTGCTGGACTGAAAAGGAACTGGAAATTACTCCTGTAAGATGCTAATGAAGTTACTGACATAGACTTTGAGAAAGCCCTACATCTTCTGTGGAGCAACCTTTAAAAGTAGAATCTTTGCATAATCCTTGCAGATGAGACTATGCCTCCTTCAACCTCACATTGCTATCTGAAAGCTTGACCTGTCATCTCAGTGAAAGGTTTCTGGTTGACTTTAGTATGGTTTTTAGTTGACTCTAACTGATAGTCCCAGAAAACCCGAAAGAGTGGCAAGGCAATTGTAGGGTAGATTCTACCCCGCTGTACTGCTGTTAATCCTCAGCTCATCAGTCTTGATCAAACTTGAAGAGGATGGTTTCTGAGAGACTTTCCCTGTCCTACAACTGCCCGATATTGTACAAATATTGTAGTTTAGCTTTTCAGAGATAGGAGCATTTTCTTAGCAGAAGATCCAATGGCCGCATTATAATTTGCCCATGTTGGCATTGTGCAGACATGAATTGCAGTTACGGGCCCGTTGGAGGGGACACTGGACAACTCAAGGGCAAGTTTCCAGAATGTAGGCTTTAAATGATACAGCTAGCATGTTAAGCCATAAAAAATTCTGCCCTAATATGAATACTAAGGTATCAGGTTATACTGAATCCAAATTTACATCCCAGCATGGTGTTTTCTCCTGTTGTTTCAATTCATCATATGCTTTGTAATCACTTTTTCTCCTTGAACTTGAAGGTTTTCATCTGTTCTTGTTTTCTTTTCTGGCTTATCAATGTCCTAAACTAATAGACAGGCATAATTACTGAATTACCTGATATTTTATATCCTCATTTAATTGTCTGTGAATTGCCAAAGACCATACTCACATGTTCCATGTTTGGTGTTTGGTCCTTTTGTAATGAATTACAAATGTCACTGTGTAATTTTCAGAATGGAGAGTGGGTTTAATTTATTTATTATCTCCATTATTAATAATGGAGTGTAATTTAACATACTGGGCATGTGATTCATAGACTGGGTTCTCTTTTGCTGCAAATGTCCATCATCCTTTGACCATATGTAAGAGGTGATGGCACCTCAGAAGAGCAAGTGGATCGAAACTGCCCTAAAGCAGTAGCACTAGAGGTGCTTGATTTGATTGTGAGAAGAACTTTGGACAGATTTTGTTCCGATGACACTACAAAAGGTAGAGTAATATATAATCTTTTGGAAATGTCTGTCTGGGATTGTGGAAAACATATGGCCAGTAAGGCCATGAAAGAAGGAGCAGTTGTTCTCTCAGTGAAAGCTGTTATTCAGCAAAAACAGAATTGGAAGTTGTATTTTGTACTTAATTTAATTTGGTGTCGCATTCTGCTTTTGAGTTGAACTTGAGATCCTTCCAAAGTCAGAAGTACAGGAGTATTTTCTGGGGCTCACGGTCAGTCATTGCTGTTATTCCAGAGATGTTCTTGGATGTTTCAGTCGGAGATCTGAATAGTGCTGGCATTTATAGTCACCAGACTTTGTTACCGCATTTGTCTCACAGCTTTTAAACAGCAGAAAACATGTACAACGTATTTAAACAACACCAGAGAAATTAAGGTCATGAGAATGCATTGTCAACAAATGAAGATAAAAAAGAGCTGTTGTTTCAAAGAAAAAATTGTTGTTGCAAGACGCTTTTGAAATTCTACATACCAAATTCAGAGTCATGTTGATGATTTATTCTAATGTAGGAAAACATCATCAAGAGTGACAAGCAAGCTAGTCACTGTCTAGTCACCTGCCAGCAAGTATTTCAGAAAGACTAAAAAGGCTGGTACTGCCTTGCTGAGCTGACACTAATTATTTCAGTATACATGGAGCTTTGGGATTTGTGTTAATTCTCAAGTCTGTCTTTAGTTCAGACTCATTCCACTGTGTAAACTCAGCAGAGCACAAATTATTTGACCATCCTTTCATAATCTGTCCCCACGCTCACTTCCCAATTACACAAACTGATCCAAATACCTGCTCTCAAAGGATCCCCATTTGGGAATCACAAGCCAATTAAAAAAAAAAAAAAAAAAGAAAAGGGGGATATCCACTTTTTTGTGTCACTCATGTCTGGTATTCCTGTTCCATGTTGGCGTTCATTTCTGGGTCTCTTCTTTATAACATTGTTTTCATCAGTGTTCAGAAAAGATGTCTTTCTGGTGATAGAACCCTTTTTAGATGAAAACTTTATCGGATATAGCATATTGCATCCTGTAGGAAGGATGAAGTCAACAGTGCCTACCAATATACTGAATATCCCAGAAAATCTCCTACTGCCACATCATGACGCTGTTTCCTTGTTCATTATACATTTAAGTGAGCATGTTTTAGGAAAAACATCTAAATATTGAATAGTGGTGTACTGATCTTGCAGGGGCTTAGTGACAATGCCTGTTGAAGGTGTTTATACAGCAAAGCACAAAACAGAAAACAACTTGGTGGTGAGAGTGCGAGAGGGTTTGAAAAACGCGTTTCTGTGTGTGACTGAAAAAGACTGTTGTTGTGTATTCTGTGAAAATTCAGTTCTGGACCTGGCTCGCTTTTAAGGTCTGCAGGAAAAAAACAGCTGCATTTTTGCACAAATGCTTCCAGCGATTGCAGCCAGTGGATGTCTGCCCTCCACAGCTAACAAGGATCGGAGTCGTGATCAAGCTGTGAGAATGGCCTCCTGGCTGTGATGCCTATCTCTCAGCATCCAGAAGGTCCATGCAGCTTTGAGGCCACCACTCAGTTCCATATACTGTTTAGTTTTCATATACTGTATAGTTTTGAGGTAACTGCCTACTTCATTGCACTTCCAGTTCAAGAATTGAAATGTGCTAATGGATGGATTCACATCAAACCATAAACAGTAAAGTAATGATTCCCACTGAAATCAGTGTGTACAGATAACTGCTTGCAAGTGTGCAGGGTGTTTCAGTTCCTACATTTGAAGTAAGAGGAAAATTGATTGTTGTCTAAAATTGCAGGCGCCTCAGAAAATACTTTGATGTTTTTTCCTACTGTGTCCTGTTTTTTTGGGGACATTGGCTTTTGGGTTGTTGGGGGGGGGTTGGGGGGGGGGGGGGGGGGGGGGGGGCATTTTCTGGTGGGAGTGCAGGTCACCATATGGCAAAAAAAGCTTGTCTTTGTTAGTTATCTTTTCTGCAGACTTAACACAAGTAATGCCTGGAATCCTAGAAGCCACAGAATATTTAAGTATTAAGACTGGTTAACCTCTGAAGAGCCTCTGCAAATCCACAGTGCATTGATGTATCGTTTTGTAAGGCTGAAGTCTTCTAATAAAGAAGCAGACTCCTTAAGTCCAAACCATGGCCCCACAACAAACATTTTAATGTGCAACAATGAAATATGCCATGGGCAGAATCTGTAGTTTAAAAAAACCTTAACACAGAGGGACTCAAAGGTGCCCCAACTAATGCCAGTTGTTACCGAATGAGATATGTTACTTCCCAGTTTGTGTAGAAGCATGTGTAGTTGGAATCTGTGTTCAAAACCCAGCTCTTACAAGGTCATTTGTCATGAAGCACTGTTACCTTAGTTAACTTAAGTTACTTGATTCACCTTTGCAGCCATAGAGCTGACTTTCTGGTTGTGGTTTGGCAGGATACACCTGCAGAACCACAAATAGGGTTACTGTATCATAGAATTGCAGAATAGTTAGGGTTGGAAAGGACCTTAAGATCATCTACTTCCAACCCCCCTGCCATGGGCAGGGATGCCTCACATCATGTCACCCAAGGCTCTGCACAACCTGGCCTTGAACACTGCCATGGATGGAGCATTTACTCCCTCCTCTGGGTAACTCTGAACTATGAAACTGGACCCATGATATAGGCCGTAAAGGAATTCTCTTTCTTTGCATTCTGGTAGGCTTCATTTATTAGAAATTTGGAAACCTCTTTAGTCCAGTGTGTTGCTGAATCTCCCTGAGGCTGGTGCAATGAAGACAATATATTCTGGGAGGCATCTTGATTCGAGGGTGACAGCTCCATATATTTGTGAGAATGAAGTGGCAGCAGAGTTGCCGGTAGAGCATGTTTTGTCTTTGTGATGCAGAAATACATCACGTTTGTAACAATAACTTTCACAGTTTCATGTGACCATTTGTAAGCAGGAAAGCACCACTGTTGGGAACGAGGTCTTAAGGAGCGAGAAAGACGCTAACTGGCCTTGCTGTCTTGTTTCCAAACAGCCAAAAGGAAGGAAGACCATGCCTGGAGAACCAGCGCAGCAGCAAAGCGACACTCTGCTCCCCTGGCGCCAGCATCAGAGCTCGAATGGCCTGCGGCGGCAGAAGCGAGACTGGGTCATCCCACCCATCAATGTGCCGGAGAACTCCAGGGGACCCTTCCCGCAGCAGCTGGTTCGGGTAAGCTGAAAGCAGAAACAGACATAACGATAGTGGTAATCTTGCAGTGGGTCTAGTGACGGAGTAAGTGCAGTGCAAGCTCCAAGTCCTTGCCATGGGAGGTCTGGCTCGAAGCACAGGCTCTCTGCTGTTCATCCCTTGCGCAGGAAAAGTTGCCTTTTGCAGACTGCTGAAACGCTTCTTTTCCAAAGCAATGTGTCCCAGTTTTCCCTCCCGCAGCTGAACAGCAGCCTAATCGCCTCCTTCCAGCCAGTCCCTCAAGAGACGCTGGCATTGCTGCCAAGATGGCACTTTGCCCATGCTCTCATCCAAAAAACGGCTGCAGGTGGAAAGCTGGGTTTGGTGGCACCCAGCGAGGAGGGGGTGCTGTATGCCATCCCTTCCATCTCAGAGCCGGGGTACAGATACGTGGCGGGGCTGGAGGAGGTTGGCTGCCTGCCGCTGCTGCAGATGGATCCCTCATCCTCTGTATGTTACCAGTTTCTTTCTTTACGAGCATGATCTCCAAGATCAAGCTTACCCATGTGGTTTTCTGTAATGATTATTGAATGACAGGAAAAGAAGAAGGGAAAAGGGGCCGCTGACAGACACTTTTGGTTGATACATTATTGCTGTTGGAAAGTGTTAGCAAAATACAAATACACGCTGCTATTCCTCTTGTGAGTGCTGGTTTCAGGTTTTGGAGCAGTAGAAAGATTAGCTATCCCTGGCAGACTTTTTCAGCTTCCCTTGGAAGAAAATGGCAAGTGATAAAATTGCAGAACTTATTTTGAGCAACAGTAGTGTGCCATTGGCATCCCTTCTCAGGAGTTCACCTAGTCATCTTGAAACAGTGCCTGGACTCAGACAAGTTGTCCTCATTACCTGTTTCACACTGATTATCTGATACTCTTCTGCACAGCCCATGTCTGGGAGGAAGAAAGGAGCTGTCGGAGTCCTTTGGAAGTTCAGGTGAAGCTTGCAACTCCTCATGCAATGACTGAAAATGCGTGTTCCCAATTCATCAAGTATTAGGCAAACCAGTTGTTGGCATCGTTTCTTTGTGCAATTGGGGAATTAGGACGAGGAATAAAAAGGTAGCAGGTGGTAAATTTTTTTTATGCCTGTCCTGGAAAACCAGGGAGGGAAGCCAAGGAGTCTTTGTGTGGTCAGCAGAGCTGGCTATGGAGTGACCCATTAGTGTGTTGTCCTGTGAAGTTGAAGAAATGTCTGAAGAGAAGACTAACTCTATGTGTCAAAAATATCTTACTAAATCAGATTAATAATTTAGATTAATTCCTGAATTCCTGTGAAAAATAAGGAGAGTACTTGTAAATGAACCCATGCCCTCTCCCACTCTGCTGATTTCTTTTGAGCTTTGACTAGGCAGTGAGAGGACAAGTTGGCACAAGCTTACCGTGACTGATTTATTGATTTATAAGGACTGAAATCTCTGTGACACTTTTTTCCCCCTACAGTCTGGAGATGAAACAGAAGGACTCAAGAATACAGAAATCCAGTATTAATGAAGGTGACAAATAATAAATTTTATATAGGTACAGAAGAATTTCTATTCATCACTTAAGCTACAAGTAACCTTGGAAAGATAACCTAGCTGATATAAACACAGAGCTCCCACACTTTCAGTAATAGATTCCATTGCAGTTTTTAAATACAGATCCTAGAGGAAACACTAAAAATTAAGTAAAATATGGGGTGGGAAAGAAAGAAATTACTTACAAAGGGCTGCTTTCCTTTTCACCTGACATACAGCAAGGAAGATCCTACAAAGAGAGCAACTTCATTAAGCATGAGACCCCTGATGTTTCAGGCTTGGGTTGAGTTTCTGCTCATCTGCAGCATCTGGTCCATGTGCCGGCCCCTGAACATGAAGCTTGGGTGATTCCTAGCAGGAGTTACAGCTTCCCCTGTTAGACTTTTCTCTTTAATTATCCAGAATAGGATAAATCAACGTCTTCAAAGACCAGCACTGTCTGACTATTTCCATCCACATAATCTTCAGATTGCCCTGCAGCATTCTGCTGTCTCCTAGATCTAGGTAACAGTTTTGATCTGATTTCCCATGCTTTTGCTCACTGGGTGCTGAGTATTTTTGCGTCCATCTGCTCACAAACTGGAGCTAGAAGTGCACATGTGAAGTTACAGTTCAGATCCATTTGAACAGAATGAAGTCTGTCAGTTTTCTCTGCTACTTTATATAAAGCATTCAAACCCAGTGCTAGTTCCTGGACACTGAGCTTTTCTTTGTCCAGAGAGCCATGCTTTAGCTTACATTTTATAGGTGTAGCTAATGGAAACCAGTCCCTCCATTATGTTATCTTTGGTTCTGGTTAACCCCAAGGGCAGGGAGGGATGGCATGAAAAATCTGAATGCTGAAAACCCCAGAGCCCTACCAGAGCTACATTTTCTTAGTACCACTTGCTGTTTGCTTTTTTATAGGTTAGACTACTTTGAAATGCATAGGCAAATCTTTCACTTTCCCTCCTACTCCTGCTTCCTATTGTGAAGGTAAAAATTCCATTTTATGGAATTTGATTAGTTACTTGTCAGTATTTTTAGCAAGGCTGTACCTGAGTGAAGTTTAAATCATAGCAAAGGTGAATGCAGCTTGATGGGAGCTACATACCTCAAAAGCTGAACCTGTCTGGTTCAGCTGGGATCAACTATAATTCTCTGCTCATTAAACCATTTCATTCTGATAAAATACATTAAATGAGAAAGTGTTTAGAAAGAAAAAGAAAAAAGGAAGATGTCAAAACATTATCCCTGCCAAAAAAAAAATCGTCTGTTAATTACAGGGTTTTTTCTTTCAAAGGAACATCCGTGTCTGTTCATATGCATCAACCCTCACTAACTAGGAAATGTATTTCAGTAAGATAATATGTAAAAAATAATAATAGGAATTTCTGATTAGGTTTGGCTGTTGAAAATATTTTCTTATTCGTCAAAGAGTTTAAATAAACACCTGACGTGTATAAGCTAAAAAGTAATTTTTATTGCTATGAAAATGTTTTGCAAATACTGGTTTTGTCTTTGAGCTGAGAAAACAGTTACGAAATTTTATTGATATATGCTTACTTATTTTGTAAACATTTATGAAGATCTCGGGTTTAATTTCATTGTGCTTCACTTCTACCTTTGTATTAGGAATAATATTTTACATGCTGTGAAATATTTTACTGTAGTGAGGATAATTTCGTTACTAATTGTCAGCTAGTCTCATTATTACAACTCTGAGGTCCATAAAAATTCCCATTAAAAATACAAAACCAATATGAAATCCCCCTCCTCCTCCAAGCAAATGACTCACACAGGCACACTTATCGACTAAGATAATATATTAAATAGTTGTGCCCTTGCTGAGTACCTTCTATTTTCTGACTCATCCATTTTAGCTACATGTGTAGCTAATTCTTAATTATCTATCTTCTAATTAGCTGTTAGATAATCTTGTATTTTATCTTCTTTTGCACTTCAGAAAGTATCTGCATGAAAAGCATTAGTTTAAAAGACCACCAGCCTTGTGCAGGACCCATCTATGGTTAGATAATCGTGTATGAACCACTGCAACCGTATTCACCTTTACTGATGCTCCAAACTTCCGGCTTTCTCTCCAGGACTTTTCCACAGCTCTTATGAATCGCATGTCTCTAACTCAATCCGCATAGACCCTAATTTTTCTATCTTGCTTTTATTAAACTTTAAACTGAAAAATGTGATATTTGCCCATTAGACCTCTTATGATAAACAGCTTGTTCATTATCATTACACCAGCAGTGAAATCCACTGAGGGTGACCGAGACAGGATCTCGGTGCTCTTACAAACTGCCTTGATTGCATGCTACAGGCACAGCATGCTCTCTCATATCCGAGCGCTGGTAATCTCAGGCACAAGAATGCTAGAAGTTATCTAATGTGTGTAACAGGGAATAAGAAGGAAGGATGCATTTTATGTAAATTTAATCAGAAAGTCCTGAAGTGGTTTGGAAAATTGGTAGAATATAATATACCTGAAGACTCTTGCATTGCTTCTTAGCAGAGGTGTTGATTGGTTGGGTTTCATACTGCATGATGCATGTTGATGGAGCAGCCAGATCTTACTAGTGCACTACACAGCCCTACGATGGACTCATGGGTGGGTTTGGCACATGTAAAGCTCTACAGTGAAATTGGGTACTTAATATGAAAAAGGTTGATAGCACACTCTAGACCTCCACAGCCTATTTGTGTGCTGTAGGACCCAGGTCCTTCCTTCCTGGCACAGGAAATAAAAGTAGTGAAACAGTTCTCCAAAAGACTAAAATCCCAGAGTTACACTGAGCTGTGAAATCCCCACTGACTTGGACCATCAGCCCTCAATATTGCTATTTCAGCTCATCAGGGCTATTTCAGCATGTGCCTTTGCACTGTTTTGCATAGTTTTATTGTAGGAAATCCCTCATGCCTCCTCGATCAACCACATTGCTTACTGCTGTGAAATTGGCAGTTCAGAATCCTTTCACTCCCAGCTGCAAGACAGATGGCATCTGTCTGTGGTGAGAGAAGCTTGAGAAAAGGCCTTGCAAATGCTTCCCAGAGGACATCAGACCTTACTTTTCCTGAGAGACATGGACAGGCTTGATTACAAATAGGCATAGATCTTCCTTGTTCTTCCTAGATCTTTCTAGTTCTGGCTCTCAGTAGGTCTTGTCTTTGGTACCCCTGTGAGCATCACAAGCTGAAATTGAGAAATTGGGCGATTTGGTCATTATTGTGACAGACAGGGATAGGAAAGAGCAAGCCAAGAGAGTGGAGAGGAAACAGGAGAACATGCAAGTTGTGTCACTCTGTAGAGGCACAGCCTTTCTTTGAAAGCTGGGTAAAGGGTGTAAATTATAGCAGCTCTTGGCTCTTGACTGTGTTTTCACGCCACAAACCAACCTGACACCAAAGAGAGAAAGATTAGCAGGAAAATGATTCATTAAGCATTTGTGTTGCCATGGTCTTGGCTCTGGTATTG